CCCCCCCCCCCCTCCCGTCAAAAAAATTATGGTCCCGTCCCTTAGGCCCGCCGGTTCACACGGTGAAGAGGAAACAGTTTTCTTTTCTCCCCTCCCCTCCCCTCCCCTCCCCTTTTCATTCCTCTCGTCCCAACTTTCTCGACGAACTCACCCAGAAACGCTTGCCACGCAGGATAAGCGATGCTTGCATATAACTTTCGTTTTTCGCTCGTTACCCTGGTCCCCTTTTCCCCTTTTATCGTTAATTTGCATCATTTTACTATTCGCTCGCTGCACGCGGCTCTGAGGAAAGAACAACGACTACCAGCGGTCATTCTCAATTATTATGCTAAATACATCGACAACCTCTGTAAGCAAAGTACAGTGGAACCCCATAATACGGTCACCTGCAGTAGGCCAAAAAAAACGTGGCCGTAATAACAAGGTGACCGCATTAAGGAGGGTTTCTGTACAAGAAAATGTATGGTCGTTTTCGTCGGGCAGCCAAAAAAAAGTGGCCGTAAGGCGGGGTTCCACTGTACTTTTTAATAATAACTTTGTTCTTCATGTTTTGTTAACAGATGCGTGCCCCCTAGTACTTTTTTCAAGTGAGAGTGACTTGTAGCAAAATGTTGCTCAAATAAAATCCTAAACTGGGAAGAGCTTAAACAGCTGCTTAAAGATTCCTCCGTCAAACAAAGGGCTTAATTAAGTTTACGGCCTTATCGTTCTCCAAAAAGATTATTCTTTTCTTCTTTCTCCGTAAACAAACTAAAGGGAACACAACACCTTGACAACCCTTCACACCATTAAGAATGTTATACAATTTCCAGATGATAGCATTTCAGTATCGCTTTACTACGAAGATTAAGACCAAACGAACAACCGTTCGCTTACTGTTTTGGAGGTGAAATCCCCGTCAATAGGGACACTGAGAAAAAGAAAGTATTGACGAGGTGTCCATATAAATCATGTGTCCCCTAATATAAGCAGCGTTCAACTTTATGTGTTTCGCCACTTTCGCATTGCATGCCCACTATACATCTTACTTATCATCGTCGCGCAAAATTTTGTGGAATAATTGTTTTGAATTACGCTTGGGACAAGCGGCAAATGGAAACAATGGTTGTACAAAACAGTTTTAGGGAAAAACATATAAGGCATTTTGTGCCATAAGCAGTGCGAAAGAGAGGAAACCGGTTTTGTCCAATGAAAGCGAGCTTATCGACGCAATGTGCAATTAGATCTCTCAGCTTCAGCTAGCGAGAGAAAAGTGCAACTCAGAGTGCAACAGTTGCTAAACGAGGCCAGTTCCTGGCCAGTTCAATTTGGAGCAAACAAAAAATTATTCACTTTAGCCAGTTGGAAATCGCGTTGTAGAATATTATTAGACACAGTTCAGTTGTGAAAATTTAAAAAAGCAATTCTCACATTTACCTGGGTGTACGTGGCAAGCGTTTGAAAGGTGGGGGGAGGGGGGAAGCAAAAAACACGAAGCTGAGCGAGCGTGTGTTGATTTTCTCTATCAACCGTATAACAAAATCTCTAATCTTATTGACAATCGGCAGTCCCTTTTTATGGGAGCGAAGTACAATTTTGTTTGTCGTCGACTGCATAAACAAGGCGACCGGCGGTCGTCCGATTTGTTTTATCATCACGACTACCACACAAGCCGGCAACTTGTCGCATCTAACGACAACAGAAGTTAGTTTTGCGCCTTTCATGCAAGGAGGATATTACACTATTGCGTTTGATAATTTATTTTGCATTAGTTTTTCTCGCGTCAAGGTACCTTAACAACAATCGCACGTTGTTAAGAACTTTAAGTACTGTTACACGTTAAAAATATGTAAATAATTTATTAAAACATCAATTGGACAGGAAAAAAATACACACAGAGACGTTGGAAAAAATAATTTCTTCTGTGATTCGCAAGCACCTTAGAAAAAAAGATCAGCACTAAGACGGTAAGTTTGTTTTGTACGGAAACCCCAAGCAGTTAATAGTATATTTCAGTTATAAAAATAAAAAAAATTATAATTTGCTAATATATTACTGGCCAATGAGAGTTAAAGGTTTTTTTTTTTTTATCTTTGTTTAGTATCAAGTTAGCCTTTGTAATTTTTAAATAACTTTTATCACAAAAACTTGTGTAGAGAGTGATCTCAGGGACTTAGCCAGATGAAAATTCTTAACAAGGCACTATCTGAAATAAACTATAAGTCGATTTTATTGGAAACTTCAAAATTCAACAGGAATCAGTGCACTGTGACAGTTGACCGGCATAAACACTAAACATGCTGAAAGGGAATATTGCACTGCAAGGTTGTCCATGTCTCGTTAGGTTTCTTGAGTTGCAACCCGTAGGTTTGATAATTTATTTTGTCTTTTCTTGAATCAAAGACTTGAGTAATTCGAAATTAAAACGTGTACCGGTGATTTCCTCGAATTAATTCAATTGTGGGAAAGAGAGAAATATTTCTTCAATTCCATAAGTTAAACACTAACAAACTTGTCTACAATAAACGACTCTATGCTCCCAAGCTCACTCAGTTGTCGATGGTAAAGGAAGGAAATATCAGGAAAATTCAAAGGGATTTTAACTGAGGCAGTTCGACTGCACGTTGCAGCCTCGTGATCATTAGAACTGGGGTCCAAAGTAGGAATTGCTAATTTCGCGCGGTATTATATTGCATATTGAAAGGATTGCTTTAGAAGAAAGCCGGTGTTTACATTTTAAAAAAACTTTAAAGGGAGCTTTTCGGGTAGTAGGTTCTACCCGAAAAGGCACGTAAGACTGCCTTAGCGAAAGTAAAACAGAGCAAGACAGAAAGGGTCTGTGTAGTTGAATGAAATTAAAAAACAAAAAAAACAAAAAACATTCCCGCCAAAAAGAAAACCGCCGCAGTGATTGAGTTTAGTGTGCAGATCATACCTGACGAACCTATCCATAACGGTAAGTTGTTTTTGTGTTTTCTCAAGTGGAAAATGTCAGCTTCGCCTGTTCACAGACCTTCTGTTTCCCGTTAAGAGATTGCCGAGCTCGCTCTCATAAGAAGATAAAACCGCGGGG